AAAGAAAGAAGAAGAAAAAATGCATTTGAATAGCTCAGACAGAGTGGCTCAGTTGGTTGAGCCAGGGGGCACATACAAGAAGCAAACAATGAATGCATAAATGGGTAGAACAATTGATCAATGTTTCTCTCTTTCTCTCTCTCTCAAATCAATAAATAAAAATTTTAAAAAGCTAAAAAAAAAAAAAGGGAGTGACTACCAATGTCAATCTACTTCTGAATTCTAAAGTCTAGAAGGGCATAAAGCTTTGGGAAAGGGCAAGTATTAAAATAATGGATTAAAATACAAAAGATGGAGAATAACATTTCATAGGCACAGTGCTAGCCAATAAATTAGACAAAATTAAGAAGAATTCAGTCATAAGCCCACAATGTCAAAGATGTCCCTTCCTCATGCCAAATGTTAGATTTAAACTATTCTTGATGGAAAGCTTTCTACTTTCAGAAAGAGGGTAGGCCTAATATTAATTGGAACTTTTCTTAATGAATCAGAAGCACCAAGAAATAGAAAGGATGCAAGTTAAAGACAAGTTCAACCTGTGGCCTCATTGTGCTACTCACAATGCACCAATATGACCCAACTCCCTTTAGAAATCCTGATGGCCTTACTGTAGCATTGTACAAAAGACCCCAGCAATGACCCTGAGTCCTCCCAATACAGCCAACCCATGCCCTGCCCACTAAGGCAATAGAAAGGGAAACAAACTGTTGAAACCACTTCCCTCAAAACTGGGTTAAAACACAATTGCATCAGGGGACTAGTTTCACTTTCAGCTGGGAAGCTCCTTTATTCAGGACAACTTATTCCTTGACCAGGTAAGGAAGATGTTGTATGTTCTTTCTCCGGAATTTAATACTAAGAGGAGAAAATGGGCATCTCTTAATAATCTGGATAATAAAGGAAGCATTAGAAGTTAGGGAAGAACTGCCAGTAATAATGGAAGCATTAGAACTTGGGAAAGAACTAAGTTTTAGGATTGAACTCCACCTGCCCCTAAATTTTCTTTGTAAAGTTATCCTGAAAGTAAGGCCAGCATCACTCCTTTAAAGTTGGAGGAGATTAAGACATTCAGAAACCACATTCTGATTGTGGGATTTATTCCCATTGTGATTGCTGACTTCTAGTATCAGCCTTTGGTTCTGCATGACAGCACTCGTCTTCCAAACCAGCAAGACTCCTGAATTTGGCAGGGATCCTGCTCTGTGAAGCATTTTCAAGTTAGAGTTTTTAGCAATGTCACATTTCTCTAAGCCAGCAATAAAGAAAAGGTTGATGAGGCAAACAAGGATGGCACTGAGTTCTGACCTAACAGCACAAAACAACCTCCCAGTCAGCAGGCGCAGGCTACACATTCAGAGTGATCATGGCCTTTGAGTTATAGAAATATTTTTCAAAATTTATTTACCTTACCAAATAGCTTTAATAGATAAAATATAATTTAGTTATTTCAATTTTGCTGTATTCATTTAAAGTCATGTTTTCTATTTGTATATGTGTGACTATGGGGAGAATACAATGTTGCATTTCTTGACATGTTGTATAACCTCTACACAAAGTGGAACCAAAGGATGCCTTCAAAAGAAATAAAGGACACTGCTGTCATTCTAAGTAAATTTTCCAGGAGAAGGAAGAGTGGAACAAATGATTATAAATGATTAGGAAGAAGCATCATTTGCCAATGGTGCAGAGCCTATAATTATGTGTAATTCCCTACTTAGACATTTTAGTTATGCTGAACATTGAAAAAAAAATCTAAATGATGGGGAGGAGAAAAGAAAAAGGGAGAGATTTAAGCATTCAATGTAAGGCATTCATTTAAAACTGAAGCCGTCACCTCACCATACGGGACAGTTAAAAGTTTGATAGTCCCACTGGCATCCTATTGTCAAATCATTTTTTTAAACCATGGATTTGGGATCCTTATAAATCTTCCTTATTATTTTGAAGTCAAGAATGGTTCCTCCTGCTCACAAAACATGATCACTTTTTGCTGATATTTCTTAATGCTCTGACTGGTTTTGCATATCTGGAAAAGATAAATCTTCAACCTTGGAAATAAATCTTCTTTTTCCTCCCTGTCAAATCCATAACATGATCCTTTGCTATCACTGACAGCACCATCAGATACATAGACGTGCCTTGCTTGGTTAGAAGTATGTTGTGATTTTTAGCATGAACAAGAATGTGGTTAGGGACCCACACTAAGATGTTCCGCACACGTTGCAAATTCTGTTTGGTTCTGTCCTAGAGGTATCCCATAAAGTCCAGTTTGACTCTGGGACTCATTCAAGGCTGATATTCTCCCAAATCAGGTGTTCCAGGGAGGAGAGAGAGGAGGCCTTCAGGACCTGGTATGTAGCAGGTAATCTGAAGATATGAGACTAGATGGGTACAGGGCCTGCCTCTTCAGATTCCTAGGGTCTTCTCCACCCCACACTGGAGATGAGTTTATACCAGAATTGGTGCTCTGGGAAGAAGAGGCAAATCTGAAGATAAGCAAACCGTAGAATCACTCAGAGGCATCAGAAAATGAAGTTTGAGATTCTACAACAGCTCTGATTTTTTTCTTTGTTCCCTCTCATCATTTATAAGTAAAATGTAGAACAAGAGAAGGGGAATAACAGTTAAACTACACAGAATTATACAGGATTTTCTATTCCTCCCCCCCCCCCCCAAATTTTCTTCTTTCAGTAATCCCAAGATATAAATCCCATGATATAAATACTGTAATTCTTTCAGTATTACAGGAGTGGGCAGAAGTAGGTTTACAGTTGTAATGCAAATAAATAATACAATAATTACCAATTATACAATTATACAAGAATAAACTGTGTTTTGTGTACTCACAACTGTAAACCTACTTTTGCCAACCCCTGTATTATCCTTATTTTTGAGACCAGAACAGTGAGTCTCAGAAAGGGGAAAGGACCTCCATGAGGTCATGCAGTGAGTCAAAACAGCCCAAGGAATAATACCCAGTTTTTCTCTCTTTGACCCAGAATATTTACCCTACTGGCTTTAAGCATCCCTTTCCTCCTTCCTTTGGTGGTTCTCTTTTGAACTTGATCCCTCACCAACTGTGGAGTTAAGATGGATCCATGTTCAGAATTGTAGAACTGTTGTCTAAAGCTCCCCCAAAGGGCCTGTTTCCATTGCTTACCTGCACAGCCAATGTTTCAACCTGTGATAGAAATCCCTTGGAGGCATGTACTGGGATTCCTCCCACCCCAGACTGCTGTAATTAACTCTGCTAACAACTGTGATTGAATACAGTTTGTTGTAGTCATTGTTCACTGACAGGCACAGATAAGAGCCACATCTCAGCAAGTGGTGTTCTAAATGGTGTTCCCTGCTTGGTTAAACTCATGTCAGGCACTTGTCAAGGACGCTGTTCCCAAACTGCTAGCAGCAGGCAGTGTCATTGCAACACCTTCCAAAACCCACAAAGGAGGCCATAACAGATCCCTAGCAAGCATATTGTCATACACTGGGAGAAACGGTTTCTAAATTTTAACTTTGCCCAGCATCTGGCTGACCCTCCTTATGGAGAACATAGGTGTGGCTTTGCATGATTTAGAAAAAAGGCAATCTCGGTTTTCCTGATCCTTAAGACTTCCATGGTTTCAGATCTTCCCCACAAGAATGCTTGTAAGTGAAAGTTATAATGTGTGGTACATTCACCCTATGCTTTTCAGACATGGTGCTCTTATTAGAAGCTTATGAACACCTGTCCGTAAGGACTGAGCCAAGAGGCAGCATGGGTATGAGATGGGAGATATTGCCCTGGAAGTAAATCAAGTTGTTCACCCCAAAGGAAATGTTTCTAGGGAAGCTGTCTGAGCAAGAGGTAAATACTAAGTCATTCAAACAGGCCCTAAATGACTGTTTCATCTCCTACAAGGTTAGGTCTGATTCCAAAGAACTCACAAAATGGTGAGATAGTATTTCTCTTTTCAGTCAATCCTTTTAGCACAATATACATTCCTTTGTTAATGTTAATAGTCTCAAACCTTTGTTGACAAGTAATTAAATAGCTACAATTTGGCTGCTCTGTGTTGTTTCAACAATAGTTTTTGCATTGGTTCTAAATAACAACAAAAAACACCCCATGTCTTTCTGTGGTCTAAAATACTATATTGCATATATCGCATGCCTTCTCAGCTCTCTAGCTGCTGTTTTATGAGTCTACTTCTACATTTTCTCAAATTTGCCTCTTTGTTTCAGTACTCATTGCTGTTGTCACAGTTTAGGGCAGCGGTTCTCAACCTGTGGGTTGCGACCCCTTTGGGGGTCGAGCGACCCTTTCACAGGGGTCGCCTAAATACATCCTGCATATCAGATATTTACATTACGATTCATAACAGTAGCAACATTACAGTTATGAAGTAGCAACGAAAATAATTTTATGGTTGGGGGTCACCACAACATGAGGAACTGTATTAAAGGGTCGCGGCATTAGGAAGGTTGAAAACCACTGGTTTAGGGCTTCATCATCTCTTGCCTACACACTGAAAAAGCCTAGCCTCCTCGATGGTCTCCCTGCTCACCTACCTTATCACCACCTCCAATTATCCTTCCAAATCACCACCTGATCAGACCACTCACAAACTATCATGGCTCTCTATACCTACAGTAATGAAAACCAAACTATTGAATTTAGCCTGGCAGTAAAAGCCATGTATCTAGCCCCCATCTACTGCACCCTTCATGTATCCTAAACTCCATCTATTCCAGATAACTTCCCCTTGGATGAAATCACCGTCATGCCTTTGAGCATGGCTTTGGTGTCTACAAAAATCACCCTTTTTTTACTCAACTCAAATGCCATTTCCTCTAGAAAATTAATCACTCTTTCTTCCAACTTCATACAGCACTATATATATATATTTTTTTTTAATTTATATATTTTTAAGATATAATTTATATACAATTCACCCCTTTAAAATGTACATTTTTTAGAATAGTCACAGAGTTGTGCAACTATCACAATTTTAGAATATTTTAATCATCCCCCAAAAAAACACTATACCCATTAACAGTCCCTCCCCAAATTCCCCTCCCCACCCTGCCTCCCAAACCCTAGGCAACCACTAATCTTTTATTTATCTCTATAGATTTGCCTATTCAGGATATTTCATATAAATGGAATCATATAATACATGGTTCTTTGTGACTGGATTCTTTCACTTAGCATAACTTTTTCAAAGTTCAACCATGTTGTAGCATGTATCAGTGCCAGATTCCATTTCATTGTTGAGTAATAGTCCATTGTCTGATTATACCACATCTTATTTATGCATTTATTAGTTGATTAACATTTAGGTTGTTTTAGCTTCTTAGTAATTATGAATAATGCCTCATATAAACTTTGAATATCATTTAATAGTATGGCTTAGCATTATAGGGTTTTTATTTGTTTGTTTGGCCTGTGTTTAACACTTGATTATAACCTCTTTATGAACAGAAACCATCATTTCCACTCTGTAACCTCCACATAACAAGTATTCAGTAAGTGTTTTACAGATGGATGGATGAATGGACAGGTATTATAGGTTCTTATTGTTTCAATTATCATACCAGTACTCAGAATAAAAACATCAGAGTGGACCCAGTAAATTTACCCAATAAATTATTAAATTCCAACACTGGTGGTTCTTAAATAATCTTTAATCTCTGCACTAGTTTCTGGACCTGCACACAGGGTACTACAGTTGATTATTTCATGGAGGCAGCTCCTTGGCTAATAATAATTGTGAACTGAGTGGACAGAAGCCCCCAAAACACCAGACTTTTTCCTTAGATTAACTCCATAGTATCTTGTTGTTGTTCTTGGCTTGACTAAGGTTATTATTCTAGTCCAGAGTGATGATTCGGAAGCCTGGCTGAGCATCAGAATCCCTCATGGAGCTTTTTCAAGATACTAATTACCCAGGTCCCACCTCCCAGATGATGATTGTGTATCTTGGGTAAACGGCCAGGTACTCACATGTTCCAGAAACTATAAAGGTACATCTGATGCATAGCCAGGTTCAAGAATTCCTATTTCAAAAGTTGCCCTGAGGTTAAAATAACTTTATAGAGCATGTCTGAGCACTTTACTCCTGGAGTGCATTTTACTTATCCTAGGATCATGCCCACTAATACTACCTAACATATATAAGGCACTTTTTGTTTGGAAAGAATTTTGTAGTCATCTTTTATTATCTAGGCATGCATGCTGGGTGACCTTGTACCAATCACATAATCCCTTCATGTCTCAAATTTCTTCAAATATAAACTGTAGGTGGTGATTCTGACCATTCCTCAAGAGGTATTGTGGAGATTAATGGAGGACTGTAAAGCACACAAAAATATTTATATCCATGCTTATTAGACAGGTATGAAGTCCTAGTCACTGCCTTTTAAAATGAAACAAATACCAAAATAAACTATTAAACAAGCCTTCCCACAACCTTCATCGTCATCTGAAAGATCCTTTCCCAGCTCCAAAGTACAGCAATTCCCCCTCTGCACCAAAACTGATAAACAGACATAATCTGCAGTCACAAAGAAAACAGAGCTAATGGATGGCAGCAAATAAATATATAAAGCAGCCATGAAATGGAGTTTAACCTCATTTATCACTCACAGTGCAATTAAACATTATATCTATAAATACACTCTTCTGAAAAATATTCTTTGTTTTTAATATTCTTGTAAAACATTTGTGCATGTTCACACAAGTCTTTAAGGTAATGCTACATACTCACTGTTGATATTAAGCCTGAAGTTGTTTTCTAGTTTGCTGACAGTTTTTACAAGGCTATTAACCTCTTCCCATCTCCCCCACATGACTGAAAGAATATATGGTCAAAGTGAGACCTTAAGACCTATCGCAGGTTGGGGGTGCATGAGAATGGAAAGGCAGAGGAAGAGCCTCCAACCTCAGAACCAGAGACAGGTCTTGTATGGATGATGACCCTCAACCAAGGTCTCGTTTACATTATATTTTCAGCTTCTTGGAAACAAAAGTCAGAAAACAGACTTAGATTTTCCTTTTTTTCCATTTTGCTTTGAAAGGATCAAGAGCCAGGTCCAATTACATATTCCAACTCATTTACAATTGAATGACTTCTGTGACTCTGAAGGACAATTAATGCCCTCACACCCACCATAGCTGATTTGAGCCACACATCCTAAGCAAGCATGACCTTTCTGGGGCTACTTGACCTTGATCATACTCTTTCCCCTTTGTGCTTCAAAGGGTTTGGGTTGTATTCCCAAGGGCAGCTGTTTGCTTTAGTTAACCTCAGGACCTGCTAACAATTAAATGCTATTAAACAAATATGTATTGAGTACATACATCTATAAATAATACTGTAGTGCTAATTGTGGAGGCTACCAAGAATTCCTTGAGATGCTTACAGGATTGCTATAACTCAATAATCTTGGGTTCTTGAGTCAGGTGAAGACCAACAACCTCCTCACAAGGACTCCTAAGGTTTGGTCAGTGGACATGCAGGTTCCCTGGGAACTCCTAGACTGGCCTTCAGCAGAAATCAAGCTGAAATGTATTTTACTTCTCACACAATGTTTTTCTACCTGCAATATCCTATAGACCTCCACCAGAATTCAGAAGCTCCTCTGAAAAGAGCCTCAATAAGGAAGCCTCATTGGTTGGGAAAATTATTTATTATGCATAGTTATTGTTTTTTCAAATAAGATTAATTTCAGCATGTTTCAAACTTAATCATCTTTGAGAGTCACAGCATTTTTGCTGAACATCCTAAAGGGAGAAAGAGCCACATTGGCTTCATTTCAATAATAAGGAAAAATTAATGCTAATACATACCTTCAATGGATTCACTTAGGTATCCCAAACATTTTCTTCCATCAATATGGAAAATCCCCAGAAATATGCATTACGAATTTTTCCTGTGGAGAGATGCAAGTGGTTACTGTAAGTTGTATAATTTCCTCTGAGTCTCATTTAAAAAATTTTTTTTTGTTAATCCTCACCCAAGAATATTTTTTCCATTGATTTTTAGAGAAAATAGAAGGGAGGAGGAGAGACAGAGAGAAACATTAGTTGGCTACCGAATGCACCCCTATCAGGGTGGGATCAAGCCTGCAACTGAGGTATGTGCCCTTGACTGGAATCGAACCCGGGACCCTCAGTCTGCGGGCCAACACTCCATCCACTGAGCCAAACCAGCTAGGGCCTCTGAGTCTTTCAAAGTCCTGTTTTCTCTATACAGTGGGGCCTTGACTTACGAGTTTAATTCGTTCGGAGACCGAGCTCGTTAAGGAGCTCGTTAACTCAAATTACTCTATCAACTCAATGCAAAAAATCGGCTGAGAGACAGCTGGTATCTCAAAAAACTCGTTAGTCGGGACACTCGTAAGTCAAGGCCCCACTGTATTTCAAGGTAAGTAACCCTGTTCTGCAGATCTAAAAGCCAAGACATCATGAATTAGTTCCATTGCTTTCCGCTGTGAAACATAGGCCACCACATTTCAACCCATGCTCTCCTTGAAATCAGATGGCATTTTAAGGGAGAGAAGAAATCAGGTACAATTTTCTGGCCTAGTGCTTGTTTTACATATTTTTCACAGGGTATCTTAAGAATCTCAGATGAAATTTAAGCATCTTTACATGTTAACTTTACTCTCTTTTAAAATTAAAAGGAAAAAAACACCCAATGAAGAAACATTCAACCATTTACTCTTGGATCTTTATGATTTGGGACATAAAATACAATCTGGGCAAAGCCAAACAAGACACTAGAGGTTTGAGAGACAAGGAGAATGCTGTATATTGAATTTAGGATTTTGAAATGCCCCACTTTGGTAGTTTCCCATTTATCTTCATGCAGAAGGTTGACAGTGGCCTGTTTTGTTTTGTTTTTTTGTGGTAGATATTTTTTTGCTCTAGAGGAAGATTTCTCTGACTGATCTTGGATAGGCATTAAAAAAAACAACAACAAAAAAAAACAACCCTCTTCTACAGAACCAGAGAAGTGCCCTATTTAATAGATGTTAAATTTTTCACTATTTTAATTTTTATGTCACCCAAGTATCTACCTACCTCCTTAGAGCATCTCTATATTTTTTATAGAAAATTTTAAATGAAGTTATTTGTTTACTTTCTAAATATTATTTGGCGGGTTAACAATACTTCTCTCACTTGTATTAGTCCTAATGATTAACAGTAAAAAATGCTACTTAGTAGTCTGTACTTGGGGAGAAAAAGCTATTTCTTGATGGGCAAAATTCAAACTGAGATGGAAACTTCATAGGTCACTTAGATAAATGCGTTAGGTTTCATGATAAGGGAAAGGGATTAGGAATTGAATTGACTAAGAGAGATTCTGGTTTAGTGGAAAAACTAATCTGAGATCAGAGTGTATTAAAAATGCTCACATTGTTAAAATGTCCATATTACCCAAAGCAATCTACGTATTCAATTGAATTCCTGTCAAAATACCAACAGCATTTTTTACAGAACTAAGGTAAATAATCCTAAAATTTATATGGAACTTCAAAAGACCCAGAATAACCACAGCAATCTTGAGAAAGGAGAACAAAGTTGGAGGTATCACACTACCTGATACCCACCTGTACTATAAGGTTATAGTAATCAAAACAACATGGTACTTGCATAAAAACAGACATATAGATCAATAGAACAGAATAGAGAACCCAGAAATAATATGACACCTACATGGCCAATTAATCTATGACAAATGAGGCAAGACAGTCTCTTCAATAGGTGGTGTTAGTAAAACTGGACAGACACATGCAAAATAATGAAACTGGATCATTTTCTTATACCATATACAAGAATAAACTCAAAATGAACTAAAAATTTAAATGTAAGACCCCAAACCATAAAACTCTTAAGAAAATATAGGTAGTCAACTCTTTGACATTACCCTTAGTACTTTTTTTTTTTGATACATCTCTTCATGCAAGGGAAACAAAAGAAAAAAATAAACAAATGGGACCAGATCTAAAGAGTTTTTGCATAGGGAAGAAAACCATCAAAAAAATGAAAAGACAATCTGCTGATTAGAAGATATTCACCAATGATATATCTGATAATGGGTTAATATAAAAAATACATACGGAATTCATACATCTTAACCTAAAAAAAAAAAAAAAAAAAAAGCCAATTTAAAAATGGGCAGAGGGAGAAACCAAGATGGTGGTATAGGTAAACACCAGAAATTGCTGCCTCCCACAACAACTTCAAAAATACAACGAAAAGACAAAACGGACATCATCCAGAACTACAGGAAGGCTGGCTGAGTGGAAATTCTACAACTAGAAGGAAAGAGAAAAGTACACTGAGACTCAGAGGAGCTGCGGAAGTAAAGTGCAGAGGTACGGAGATTCAAGTGCGTGCGGAAAGGGGCTGGCACCTGAAGGACGCGGCTGTCTTTTTGAATCGGGAGGAAGTCACAAGCCCCCGACTGCTCTGAACTCCAGTTCCGGGTGAGTCTCTGGGGACCCAGGACTCATACGGGGAGAAACTGCACTGTCTGGCAGCAGGCAGAACTCGGAACTTGAGGGCGGCTTTCCCTCAGAGGTGCTTGCAGCAATTACCGGGACACTGAGACGCGGGGCCCCTTAGGGCAGGGCTGAGAATCAGCCATAGCTGCTTGCTCTGCCCTGTTGATTCCCTGAGACCCCGCCCCACCCAAGCTGTGCGCAGAGGCTTTTGCATATGAATGCCCTGGCCTTTTGCAATGGTGGCTGAGAGCGCGGTTGTCGTTTTCGGTCAGGGGGGAGTCTCAGACTCTGAGCTCCAGATACGGGCGAATCGCTGGGGACTCGGACTCAAACGGGAGAAGCGGGAGTGTCTGGCATCAGTTGGAAGGCAGCTTTCTCTCCGAGGTTTGCAGCGGTTCCTGGGGTTCTGAGAAGCAGAGCCTCTGGGAACGGGACTGAGAGGGGCTATAACCGCTCCCTCCGCCCGCCCTGTTGAGCCCGCCCCGCCCAAGCCCTGCGCAGAGCCATTTGCCAGATCGCCTCAGGCAAAGGCTAGATTAGCACCTCCCCAGAGGACAGAAGTTTTCCGCGGCAGACACAGCTGATTCACACAGCCAGTCGGCCTGGTGGTCAAATCCCTCTAGTATTAACTACAACAATCAAGGCTCAACTAGAACAAGACTGCGCACAAAGACCACTAGGGGGTGCACCAAGAAAGCATAAAAAATGCGGAGACAAAAAAACATGACAGAAATGGAGGATATAGAGCTAAAAAACGCAATTTTGAGGGCTTGCAATAAACTTTTGGAGAGCTTCACGAAAACTAATGAGACCCTCGATGCTATGATAAAGAAACTAGAAATTAAGCATACACGCTCTGAAATAAAGAATATTACACCCAATAGCAGACCAGAGGAGCCCAAGAATCAAGCCAACGATTTGAAATGCGAAGAAGCAAAAAACACCCAACCGGAAAAGCAAAATGAAAAAAGAATCCAAAAATACGAAGATAGTGTAAGGAGCCTCTGGGACAGCTTCAAGCGTACCAACATCCGAATTATAGGGGTGCCAGAAGAAGAGAGAGGGCAAGATATTGAAAACCTATTTGAAGAAATAATGACAGAAAACTTCCCCTACCTGGTGAAAGAAATAGACTTACAAGTCCAGGAAGCACAGAGAACCCCAAACAAAAGGAATCCAAAGAGGACCACACCAAGACACATCATAATTAAAATGCCAAGAGCAAAAGACAAAGAGAGAATCTTAAAAGCAGCAAGAGAAAAAAAGTCAGTTACCTATAAGGGAGTACCCATACGACTGTCAGCTGATTTCTCAACAGAAACTTTGCAGGCCAGAAGGGAGTGGCAAGAAATATTCAAAGTGATGAATAGCAAGAACCTACAACCAAGATTACTTTATCCAGCAAAGCTATCATTCAGAATTGAAGGTCAGATAAAGAGCTTCACAGATAAGGAAAAGCTAAAGGAGTTCATCACCACCAAACCAGTATTATATGAAATGCTGAAAGGTATCCTTTAAGAAGAGGAAGAAGAAGAAGAAGGTAAAGATACAAATTATGAACAACAAATACACATCTATCAACAAGTGAATCTAAAAATCAAGTGAATAAATAATCTGATGAACAGAATAAGCTGGTGAATATAATAGAATCAGGGGCATAGAAAGGGAGTGGACTGACAATTCTTGGGGGGAAAGGGGTGTGGGGGTGCAGGAAGAGACTGGACAAAAATCGTACACCTATGGATGAGGACAGTGGGAGGGGTAAGGGCAGAGGGTGGGATGGTAACTGGGTGGAGGAGAGCTATGGGCAGAAAAAAAGAGGAACAACTGAAATAATCTGAACAATAAAGATTAAAAAAATAATAAAAAATAAAAACAAGAAAAAAAAATAAAAATAAAAAATAAAAATGGGCAAAGGACCTGAACAAACATTTCTCCAAAGAGCACATACAGATGGCCAATAGATATATGAAAAGTTGCTCAACATCACTAGTCATCAGGGAACAAGAAAAAAAAATAAAAATAAAAAATAAAAATGGGCAAAGGACCTGAACAAACATTTCTCCAAAGAGCACATACAGATGGCCAATAGATATATGAAAAGTTGCTCAACATCACTAGTCATCAGGGAAATGCAAATGAAAGTCACAATGATCGATATACCACCTTACACCTGTCAGAATGGCTATCATCAATAAATCAACAAACAACAAGTTTTGATGAGGTAGAGAAAAGGGAACGCTACCTCACTGTTAGTGGGATTTCAAATTGGTGGAGTCACTATGGAAGACGGTATAGATCTTCCTCAAAAAATTCAAAACAACTACCATATGACCTATTAATCCCACTTTGGGGCATTTACCCAAAGAAATTCAAAACACTAATTTGAAAAGATATATGCCTCCCTCCCTCTCCCCCCA